TTTTGTTGCGTTCACTTTATGCTTGCTATTTATCGCCATTAGAATAATATTGACCTTTTGCAGTAAATCCATACTAATTCCGGTTATTTCGGAAGTAGTTTCAAAATGTTTAAAAAAACGTCTAGCGGTATTACCATCGTTTGTGCTTCCATATCCTGTGAGTGGTTTATCAATATTTAATCCCATCCGCTTTTTAAATTCCTCTTGAATTCTTCGTTTCTCACTGGCTCTCATTTCCATTAACTCCTTATTGTTATTTGCACTTTTGTTTGCATTTTCCGGTATGCTTCTGTACTTTAAATCATATGCTAAATGTAGAAAATGTTCCAGAAATCGTATGCGAGCATGTAGGGGGGATATTCCAAATTGTAATGTTTCCTCATTTATTGATCTTTGCTTGGAAATATTCGAAAATTCTGATTTTTTATCACCACATATGTAGCAGTACCAAGTAGATGATGTTCCTGTAATGGCATTTCCAACTTTCCCATCAATCATTGTAAGTTTTAAATCATAGGACATGTTAAACGAATAATTTTCTATTTCGATTGTTATAGGTTCCAAGTTTTTAATTTCTGCTTCAATACGATTTATCAAATCTTGCGTTGTTGTTTTGGATTCCTTTATATACTCAAAGCTTATTGGCCTACAAAAAGCTTTGGATCCTGGAGTCGAATTCTTCCAAATATCATCGAAACTGGTTGATGGAGAATCGCTGTCAGCATACTTTCGAATTCTTAATGGAACTAGCGATGCCATAAATACACTTTTATACTCGGAAGATGATTCACTTGTGTTGATTTGTTTATATTCCGAGAGTGCTGATAATCCATCACATCCCCACTTACAAATGAGTTGAAGATCACAAGAATTTATTTTTTTTAGTTGGTCTGAAGAAAAGTCAGAAGCAATCCCTAAAGCAGTATTTTCGAGTAGAGCGCCGAGTCCAATAACAGCCTTCCGATCAGTTATTTCAATAGGAGGTGGTATAATGCTTTTCTTCTTTTCATTTATTTTGTCATATGATGGTAAAACATCCACTCCTTTTTCAGATAGCGCCTTTCTTAACGTTATGTAGTTATCACGACTTAATCCCAGCTGCAACATAAGCGCAATAGCTTCTTCCTCAGTGAACGTTGTATCAGATGATGGTGTGGGTATACTCTTTACAATTCTTTTCAGTCGTCTTGGTGATGCGGTTGGAAGAATATTTGCAATTTTTATGGCATCCAAAGGCTGTTTTTCTTTTCTTAACATTGCTTTAAAAGTGTCCGAAACTTCTTCGTTAGATAAGGTTTCTAGTGAAGTTGATAACCTTTTCCTCTTAGATTTTGAGCTCAAATCCTCATACTGCTTACAGGGAGCACCAACAGTTGATACGCAAATAGCAACTTCTACACATTCATCCAGCCAATCAGAAAATTTCGATCGAAATTTAGCAATGGAATACCGAACACTCTTCAGTTTTATATCAACTGATTTTATAAAATTTTCAATTTTACATATATCAGTTTTATCCACTTTATTTTTATGTGCAGTTTCAATATATTTCAATAAGAAGTTCACTTTATCTTGAAAAGGAGCTGAAGAGTGTTCAAATAAAATGGAGCACAAATCATTTTTTTTTAGTACGATCGCCATGGTTAGAAAATTACAAATAATTACAAACAGATATAAACCTGTCTTATATATTAATTACAGGTACTTAAATTAAATTATTTTTTAAAGGGTTATGATATTCTACCTAATATGTCTAACGTATCCTTATGTAATGAATTTTTCCTCAATAGGTCACTTTAATAAGCTACCTATTAAAGTGACCTATAGGGGTAAAAATCATTACAGTTTAAAAAATAATACCTGAAAATTTTTAATATATGTAACAAATTTAAGAGTTAACGTTATGGATGAAAATAATAGTGCTAGGTAAATTTTCTAAAAGATGTTGAGTTTTCCCTAATTAATTTGTCACTTAAAAAACATTAGGTAGGCATGTTATATATCAATGGAAAGGTAATTTTGTCTATTTTTCAAAACTGTATATAATTTTTGAAAATTAAAAAATTCGCGGAATACTTTTTTTAAAAAAATTAAAAAATGTTTTTTATTCAGTTTTTGCGAAGATACAAATTTTTCAAATTGCAATAAAAATTTTATTTATGAATATTTTTTGATGAAATTTTACAGTTAGGTAGATTTTTTTACTCAAAATCTAAAATTAAATAAAAAGTTCGAATTTTCTTATTAGAAATCCCGGAATTCCCAAAAAAGTTTTAAAAAATCGCAAAAATGGGATTTTTTGGTTTTTTGCCTATTATATCCATACCAGGGGCGGGGTTATCGAAACCCGTTACAAAATGATTAAGAACATATTGGGTCATATAAAACAGGTCACTATAATTTGATATCGACTATGCGATTTGAGAATTTATGCTCATAATTGAATTTTCTATAAAAAAATAGGGTTTTTTGGATGGACCTGGTCCCCTCGGTATCAAAAATTTTTAGGTTTTGTTTCATTTATCGTATTTTATGTAAAGTCAGCTTTTCAAAAAGTATAAATTCTATATACATCTTCTTAGAAACTTTTTAGATAACTTAAAAAGAAAAAGATACTTTTTTCCCAAAAAAATGGCAAAAAATCGCCTTTTTTTAATTTTTTAAATTAAAATGCCTATAACTTTGGACTCAGTCATGATTTTTACATAATTCTTTCACTGCTTGATATATAACTTGTTGTTAAGCGAATAAAAAAAGAAATGGCGAAAATCGGGAATATTTGGACCCGCTATTATCAAAAAACTAAAGTAAGAACGGTAAAAATTTTAAAATTTTAATTTTCAAATGCGAATATCTCCTAAACTATAAGAGATAATTTACTGCTATGACGACATTTTTTATAGTGCTCGATGAGGAGATTCTATATACGAAATTTTTTTTAAATCGGAACTCAAATGAAGAAATAGGATCGTTTTAAAAATTTAACATAGCCGAGGTGTCCTAATTTGAGGACCCCCCGCCGGGCCCCTGGTTGGCCTATAAGGTCCAAATTCAAAACCTAAACTCGACAACACCTCCTCTTTGTGCATACCAAATTTCATTAAAATCGGATTAACCGTTTAGAAGTTACCGAATTATTTCCCTCTTTTTTTTTTTCCTATACCACTGTGCACTGTAAGTATGTCAAAAAGACACAGAAAAACCCCGAGACACCTAAACTTAATTTTTGTTCGTAGAATCTAGTGGCTTACTCCGTTTTTAAGAGTTAGGTCAAAATCGGGAGATATTGCGTTTTAAAGTATGAACTGTTTATGAGGTGATTTTTTATTTTTTAAATTTTGAAAAAGTTTTCACGCATAGACATACGAACTAATTATAAAAAAACTAAATATATATGCATAATTAATTGAAATGGACTCTAGTTTCATGTATTTATATACTTTTCTATACGTGAAAGTTTTTTTTTTTTAATTTAAATAATTAAAAAACACCTCAGAAACAGTGTATACTTTAAAATACAATATCACCCGATTTTGACCCAACTTTTCAAAACGGAGTATGCTACTAGATTCTACGACCGAAAATTAAATTCACGTGTTTCGGCGTTTTTCTGTGTCTTTTTGAAAGTTGAAATTTTAATTACAGTATAATTATTGGTTTTTATGACAACAAGGATTAAAATTTCAGTTTAGAAGCTATGAATACAATTGGAAGAAATGTGTCAAACTTTGTCGTTTAAAATATGTTTTTTTTTTGGGGACCAAATGGCCTCCGGTAGGTTAGTGGCCTCCGGTAGGTTAGTGGTTAGTGTTCTAGTCTGGTAGACCGGAGGTGGTGGGTTCGATTCCCACCTGAGGCACTGGTTAAGGAGCCCGATAGAGGCCTAGGTGTATTTCTTCGGATTTGATGTATATGCATCCTCCTTTCAAACTAACTAACTAACTAACTAAATGGCTTCATGCTTTTTCATTACAATTTCAGTGTTTTTGAGATTTTCAATGTTAAAATAATTATTTTTGGAGCATATTTTTTAATTTTTAAGAGCATATTTTAAGTTTTTTACGGCATATTTAAAGCGCTTAAAACACTTTTTTAGAGCATGTTTTCGGGTTCCCTGTTGATCAGCAAAAAAGGTTATCAAAAAGAAATGGTTTGGCGAACAACTTTTCATAAACGTGATCAAGTTTTCCATAAAAATATGATCAGTGATAATGTTTTCTATAACAATTTCATCTGTCACCATAATGTGTTAAATTCTATAAAATGTTTGATCAGTGATCAAGTAAAAACTGATCATTAGTAAAGATTTATATAAACAATTGATCAGAAATCTGTTTTTTTCATAAACACTTCCTATAAAAGCGATCATAATTCCTATAAAAAAAAATGATCTCTTCTTTATAAAAGTTTGATCGAAGATCGAGTTTTTAATTATTGAATTCTATAAACATATGATTTGCGATCAAGATTTCTATTAACGTACGATCAGTGATTAAGCTTTCTAAAAGCTTTGATCAGTGATCAAGTTTTTTACAACTGAGATCGAGTTTTTAATTATTGAATTCTATAAACATATGATCTGCGATCAAGATTTCTATTAACGTACGATCAGTGATTAAGTTTTTTAAAAACTTTGATCAGTGATCAAGTTTTTTACAAAAGTGTGATCAGTGTGCACAATATTTGCAAAAATGAAATAAGTCAATTGATCAAAGTCAATTGTGCATATTCAATCAAAGTGACCTGAACAGTCACTCAGAACTGCTGGGTATTTATTTATGTAAATAGACATACATGACTAAAATATTATCTATAACCATTTATTCAGTCAGTCACTTGTACGTTTACTCGCTCGCTCATTAATTTATTTATTTGCTCACTCATGCCTTTAGTGGTGACTGAAATCATTCATTCCCTATTGCTTATCCTATTTTTGGAATATTCATACATACAGTCATACAATTATAATAGTACTTTTGATAATTTATTATTTCACTTACCCAATAAGATGAGAAATAATAGCTGCATATTAATCAAACTTCCTATACGATGATGATAATGTTGATGATTTATAGTTAATAACATGTTTTTTGTCGTTATTACTTGATGTTGTTGTTTTTTTGTCGTTAATAATTTTTGTTTTTTTTTTTTTATTATTATTATTATTATTATTGTTGTTATTTTATATTTTAATAGTTGTTGTTGCTGCTAGAGCTGGTGTTGACGTTGTTGTTGATGTTTTTAATGGTCGTCTTCTGTTTTTAAGGTTTTTTTGATGTTTTGCATATTGAAATTTGAATTGACACTCATTTACAATTGGCTTCATATTTTTGTTAATATTTATGTCTCCTCAGTTTATTTTTTTTATGTATATTTAGGTATTTATTTTATTTTACTTTTTATGTGTGTGTGTTTTTTTTCGTAATATTTATAAATATCAAATAATAAATGTTGCTGCTACTCTGCTGATGTTGGTTTGCTGTTTTATTTATTTATTATTATTCTTTTTTTGCTTGTATAGAATTTTTTTTTTTCATTCATTATTATTATTTCGTATATGTATTTATTTATTTTTGTATATTTTTAGTATTAAATGGATTTCATAGAACGACCCTTATAGTATTTGAAAGGATTTTCACAATTTACATTTTATACATACACAAGCATACAGAGACATACTCACATATACACACAGATTCACATTCGCATATATTCTCATATAATAATAATGTATATTTTTTTTTTATTCTCCTTCATTTTCTTTTTATTTTCTGTATAAATTGTGTCTGTTTGGTTAAATGTGTTTGTGTGAGTGAGTGTATAAGTGTGTATGTATATTAATCTTTTATTTTTTTATGCTTTTTTATGACCGTGTTTCTTTCCTTTTCATTGGTTACAAAAAAAAATAACACACAAAAATAAATAAAATGTTTAATAAAAATTGTATAAGAAAAAGTAAAACACATGTATTCGCATCATCGTACTCCTACACACATACTTATGAATGTATTCGTTAGCATGGAAATGTATAAGTGTGTTTATACATACATATAAGGGATTATATTTACATACATATAGTATTTATGTTTACACTTGTTAACAGAAAAATAGGTGAAATTTTTAGATCGTGGGCTCGATTTCCTTCAAAGACTTCTGATGTCGGTGTTTGTAACACAGTAATCAAGTCAGATCTTTTTTCAAGTTTTTTTATAAAAATTTATTCGGAGAGCAAGTATTCTATAACATTTTGATCTTTGATTAAGGCTTGTATAAAAATTTTGATCAATGATCCAGTTTTATAAAAATATAGGGTCAGTAATCAAGTTTTCTACAAAAGTGTGATCAGTGATCTAGTTTTCTATAAAAGTTTAATCAGAAATCTACACAGAGGGAAAAAGAAATATACACGCCTGGTACCAAATTGATACGAAACTGTTTATAATTTTTCAATACCATCCGTTGTCAAAGTATATATATATGTACAATAACACTATGTAATGTTGACAACATTGCAACAATTCGTTCGTGGTAAGCTATTGACAAACAATCCGTTTCCAATAGTGAGCTTACTACCGTTTGTTAACATTTAGACAACGGATGTAGAAAACATAATACCCATATTTAGAAAACATAATACCCTGATCAAATTTATATAAAACTTGATTGAAATTTAATAGAATTCTTAATTATTGATCAAAGTTATATAAGAAAACATTATGACATTTTCACGGATCAAACTTTTGTACAAAACTTGATCACTGATCATTTGTTTATAGAAAAAAGTTCAATCAACAGTTTTATAAAAAACTTGATCACTTATCAAACTCTTATAGAAAACTCTATCAATGATCACATTTTTTTAGAAAACAAGATCACTTATTAAACTTTTACATAAAACTTGATCACTGATGAAAATTTTGTATAAAACTTTTGTAAACAAATCACTGATAATTTTTTTTAGAAAACTTGATCCCAAATCGAAATTTTTTTAAAAATTAAATTTACTGATCAAAAACTTGATCAATAATCAAAGTTTAATAGTATAATCGATCACTGAAAAAAATTATAGAAAAATCATGATCACTTTTAAGAAAAACTTAGTTATAGATCAATCTTTTATAGAAAAAATTATCGCTGATAAAAAAATATATATAGGAAACTTGACCACTGATTAAAGTTTTACCGAAAACTCAATAACTGATCATATGTATTTATAAAACTACACAGAGGGAAAAGGAAATAACACGCCTGGTACCAAATTGACACCAAGAGTTTATAATTTTTCAATAAAATCCGTTGTCAAAGTATATACATACGTACGACAACAATTCGTTGTCAAAATCTAAATTTTATACACATCCGTTGTCTAAATATTAACAAACGGTAGTAAGCTCACTATTGGAAACGGATTGTTTGTCAATAGCTTACCACGTTTTGTCCAAAATTTTATAACTGTCCATGTTTTCTGTAAACATTTAGTCAGTGATTAAATATGCTATAAAAGTGTATTAAGCTTTTAACAAAAGTCTTATCACTGATCAAATCTTCTAAAAAACGTTAGATCATTGATCTAGTTTTTCTCTTAAACGGTTTATTTCTCAATTGTTTTTGTTATTTGGGTAGATTTGCGTTTATTTTAAAATAAACGCAAATCTCCTATTTTTCCAACCACATGTGTATCTCTGTGTATATATTCAACTACAGAGGTACTTACTAACACAAATTGTCTCTGGTAGACCACACCAAGTTTTCGACAAATCATTAAGATAAACAAAATTTGTCTTGGTTTTTACCATAGTTGTTTTTACGGTATTTATCAGTTAGATTTAATGATTTTAATCAGTTGATAAAAGTTGAAGTACTAAGGGAAACCAACATTTTATGAAAACCGCTTTGAAAATAGGAAATGTTTGCTTAAAATTCCGGCTAAATCTTAAAAATCCTACAACTATAAAAATATATTTGAAAAATAAGGGAAAATAGAAAATATGTTTTTCTTAAGATTGTTATAACTTAAACTACTACAGAAGAGTTTCGTGTTAAAGTTGTTTCTTCTTGCTCAGAATTACTTATTTTTCAGCTGTAGTGTTTCCTCAATTTATCTCTAAGTTCTAAGTATTTTTCTAATACTTACTAATATTTTCCAGGAAAATGCAGCCTGTAAGTATACCACATTATTGTGTACACTTAAGTTGCATACTAATAGTGAAAAATTGAATAATCATTTTTAAAATGAGAAGACAAATTCTTGGAATATTTGTAAAAAGTTTTAGTATATCTTTGTAAATAAATACTTATTAAGAATTTACTATTTTTATAGCTGCCTAAAGTTATACTTGCAATTATCTTGAAATCATTTCTAAGCCAGCAGAAAACAAATTTTTGGAAAATAATATATAAATAAATAATTTTTGTGAAAAAAAATGTTTATTTGTTTTTGCTTAAAATTTTAAAGAAAATTTATAATTCAAATATAAACGTCAGTCACATGTCTTATTTATAACATCATTGACCGAGGTCTTCAACAATTGTATTATAAAATTTATCTTACACTCCTTTGTTATAACTTATTCTTTTTAAACATTAAGTTATCGTATTTTAAAAAATTTTGTTCATTGTGAACATTTATGTACCTGCATTGACATTTTCATATAAAACAAAGTCATATCTTATTTTTATTAGTCTACTGTCCATAAACAATATTTATTATTTGCTTTTGTCAAATTTCTTGTAAAAAGTATTATTTAGAACCTCTTCGATTTTATTTCCATAGTGTTGAAATTGTTATGCTTTGTAGTTTAATCTTAGTAAAAGTTGTCAAAAGCCTGCATATTTAATGAATATTTTTCACTTGATGTGTCTAATAACCATTATTTGTATTGTCGATTTTAAGCCTAAAAACAAAAACATACCAAATGGTAATAAGTTTACCTAGACTATTGTGTTTGAAATACATACATACCTGCCATAAATTGGGGATTATATTGATTTTTTTCAACAATTGTTTTCAATGTAAAGTTAGATTTAAATAAAACAAAAGTTGATAAAAAAAAACCTGTAATTTTGAAATCATGTTTTTAAAATTTAACTTTGACATTTAGGTTTTCTTTCAAATAGTTTTAATAAAATATGTGATAAAGTTTTCTATAAAAATGTTGAATCGCATATCATCAGAAGATGAAGAACTGAACTAGAACTGAACTGAACTAGAACTGAACTAGAACTGAACTAGAACTGAACTAGAGCTGAACTAGAACTGAACTAGAACTGAACTAGAACTGAACTAGAACTGAACTAGAACTGAACTAGAACTGAACTAGAACTGAACTAGAACTGAACTAGAACTGAACTAGAACTGAACTAGAACTGAACTAGAACTGAACTAGAACTGAACTAGAAGTGAACTAGAAGTGAACTAGAACTGAACTAGAATGAACTAGAACTGAACTAGAACTGAACTAGAACTGAACTAGAACTGAACTAGAACTGAACTAGAACTGAACTAGAACTGAACTAGAACTGAACTAGAACTGAACTAGAACTGAACTAGAACTGAACTAGAACTGAACTAGAACTGAACTAGAACTGAACTAGAACTGAACTAGAACTGAACTAGAACTGAACTAGAACTGACTAACTGACTAGAACTGAACTAGAACTGAACTAGAACTGAACTAGAACTGAACTAGAACTGAACTAGAACTGAACTAGAACTGAACTAGAACTGAACTAGAACTGAACTAGAACTGAACTAGAACTGAACTAGAACTGAACTAGAACTGAACTAGAACTGAACTAGAACTGAACTAGAACTGAACTAGAACTGAAACTAGAACTGAACTAGAAACTAGAACTGAACTAGAACTGAACTAGAACTGAACTAGAACTGAACTAGAACTGAACTAGAACTGAACTAGAACTGAACTAGAACTGAACTAGAACTGAACTAGAACTGAACTAGAACTGAACTAGAACTGAACTAGAACTGAACTAGAACTGAACTAGAACTGAACTAGAACTGAACTAGAACTGAACTAGAACTGAACTAGAACTGAACTAGAACTGAACTAGAACTGAACTAGAACTGAACTAGAACTGAACTAGAACTGAACTAGAACTAGAACTGAACTAGAACTGAACTAGAACTGAACTAGAACTGAACTAGAACTGAACTAGAACTGAACTAAACTGAACTAGAACTGAACTAGAACTGAACTAGAACTGAACTAGAACTGAACTAGAACTGAACTAGAACTGAACTAGAACTGAACTAGAACTAGAACTAGGAACTGAACTAGAACTAGAACTAGAACTGAACTAGAACTGAACTAGAACTGAACTAGAACGGAACTAGAACGGAACTAGAACTGAACTAGAACTGAACTAGAACTGAACTAGAACTGGAACTAGAACTGACTAGAACTGAACTAGAACTGACTAGAAACTGAACTAGAACTGAACTAGAACCTGAACTAGAACTGAACTAGAACTGAACTAGAACTGAACTAGAACTGAACTAGAACTGACTAGAACGGACTAGAACTGAACTAGAACTGAAACTAGAACTGAACTAGAACTGAACTAGAACTGAACTAGAACTGAACTAGAACTTG